GATATATATAGATATAGATATTTTAATAATTTGTGTTTGGAAATTTGCCTTTAACTAYTTGATGTCAACCTTGTCTGCAAAATATCTCATGAAACAGTGCAGCTTTTAGTGATTGTTTTGAAAATAATCAACGTATGTAAATCTACAACTCACTAACCTTGGAAGCCAAACCAATTCAAGATAGCCACCACAGCCAACTGACATTAGTAAACACAAAAATGGTCATGTTTTCATCAACTGTATTGATGCTAAGCTAAAACTGAAGGTAAAACACAGGATTGGTCAATCCCTGTACACGGTTTGTGTATGCTAAAATAATTAGAACAACTATTTTACGTGATTTATTTATTTGGCAGTCTGTGTTTAACAGCTCATGGTTCATTGTGAAACTCTGGGAATCTAATCTTGCACCCAAATACATTCACTTATGATTAACCCCGACTTACTTGGCCGCCCAGGCGAATGGCATCCTGTACTGGCCAAGATGTTGGCATGTCTGTTTAGCAACTTTGAGCACCTTCTGGGCTGTCTGTGGACACAAATACAGAAAGTTAACACTGATCTGACAGAAGCGTGTGCATCTTTAAATGTGTTAAACCTCAGAGGCAGAGGGTGTACCTTAGTGACGTCAGAGGTCTTRATGTACGGCTCAGCACAGTGAGTGATACCGTTCTGAAGCACCTTCTCCACCCTGGCCACCAGGAAAATGTCTGTGTGGGGGTTGGTCACTGAGAAGATGCCCTGCAAGAGTTTAACACTCCGGTTAGATCATCTTGATCTGAGAAGAACCAAACAGAAAGTCATCCACAACCCAGACCTAAGTAAAGCACAGACAGCTGAGCGCAGAGGAAGCGCCTGAAGCTAACAGAGGCTGTGAAAAAAAAAAAACTGACACAAGGTCACATGGTGGGACGAGGCTTTTAAGTGTCACGTGAACAACCTTATCGACAGTAAAAACAAAAAACAAAAAAGATTTCTGTCAGAGCATTCAGGCATTGATACACAGCTGCCATCGGTTTTACTGATTTCACAGCTTCATTGTCTGGTGCAAAATGTTTTCTACAGAAAGGTTTAAATAGCTCCAAACTACAGCATAATCCAAACTGTGTCACAGCCCATTTCAAACAGAAACCAGAGAACCAAACTAAACTCTAGAGCAGCGTGATCAGACATGTGAATTCTGTGWTGAACTGGAACTAGGGCTGATGACGCAGAGAGATGGAGGAGGTGGTGGCTGTGACCTTGGTCCACACCCAGAGCACCTACATTAAACTGTGGTCTGCTGAGCTAAAAGAGGACTCTAATCATAGAGGTGGAASCTGAAGCTTTCACAGATGTGACTTTGCAGCATGTTTCCTCTTTTCCTCTGTTTTTTATGCTGCCTGGACAAACAAAGTTGCCACCAAAAACAAATGTCACACTCTAATATTTGGTTGGACCACCTTTAGCTTTGATTACAGCACAAATTCACTGTGCCATTGTTTCTATAAGCTTCTGCAATGTCTCAAGATTTATTTCCATCCAGTGTTGCATTCATTTTTCACCAAGATCTTTCATTGATGATGGTAGAGTCTGACCTTCTCCAGCACATCCCAAAGATTCTCAATGGACTCTGTGGAGTCAATCCATGTGTGAAAATGATGGCTCATGCTCCTTGAACCACTCTTTCACAATAAGAGCCCCATGAATCCTGGCATTAGCCATGTTTCCATCCAATTTTAATTTGAATTTTGAGCAAAAGTTTAAAAAATTCGCAAAAATGTAAAAATGAAGAAATGCGAATCAGATGTGTTTCCATCAACTGGCTTGAAGCGAATCAATTAGATCAGATGCATGCGTGTAGTAAACAGGAAGTAAAAGTTGCATCTCAGGACCATGAAGAGAAGTTATCAGGAAAGTGTTGCTACTGTCGGGAAAGTTGTAATTATTCTGTCATCAACTAGTTTTGGTGATTTTACATGCGGTCGGAGGACGTAGAGGAAGTAACGCAATTCTTTTCATGTTACGGGAATAACTGAGAATACACCGACAGCGGGAGGAGGGTCCAGCTGCAGTCGCTCTGGTACCGGGACCGCTTTCGGTCAGACAGCGGGAACAGCTGATCTGCCTGTGAGGTAAATGTTCACTACGTCAGAACTGATTTGAAAAATGTGTTTCCATCTCCTTTTTGCGCATTAACTCTTTTTCGAAAAACCCAAAAACCACCTCCAGCGAGCGTATCAACTTTGATGCGAATTAGAAGTTTTTTTTTCCAAATCAAGTCGTTTCCATTCACCTTTTCTGATGCGATACTCCAAAATGCGCATTAAAAACCTTGATGGAAACACGGCTATTGTCATCTTAGAATATGGTCGTGCCATCAGGGAAGAAACAATCCAGTGATGGAATAACCTGGTCATTCAGTATATTCAGGTAGTCAGCTGACCTGTTCTTTGAGCTCATACCAGGGTCCCCACACCTTAATCAACATCAAATTCAAGGATCTTTCATTGAATTTCCAGTACCAGTTTCCTCAAATTCAAGAACCACATGYGACAGCAATTACCTACTGCTGCTGCGAAATGTTACCAATGAACAGATTAAATATGTCAATTCAAAGAAAAACTTAAAAACACAGGAGTTGTTGAGTTAGAATCAATTAAAGAAAGTGGATTAAATGTTTACCCTAAATTCATATCTACAATACATGGACATGTAATTATGTCCTGGGAGGTTCAGCAGCTCAGTTTGGGAGGAGGGGATGTTAACATGTTCAGACCCTCRGTGAGGACAGGAGGAGCTGTGGTGCTCTCACCTGGGCTCAGAAAGACAGACCTGCCCTTCTCTGCTCTGATTGGGTAAGACTATTACTATTGCTCACGTTATTTGTTGAAAGTCACATCAGTTTACCCTAATCCTGAGTTATCCACTGCAGCAAATGTAAGTTTTTTTATTCTATTATTTTATTTATTTATTCTTTTAACAGATGATGAAAATCAGTCGTGTGAATAGAGAACTTCAGTCCCCAAAAAACATTAAAAGGACTTTCAAGAACTGGTGTCTTTTTGGCTGTTTTCACAAACTTTCCAGGRCCTTGAAATAATTTTTATAAATTCACAAACTTTCAAGAATTTCAAGGACCCGTGGGAACCCTGACATACTGTTGCTGAACCTAGACCTGACCAACTGCAGCAGCTCCAGATCATAGCACTGCCCCCACAGCAGACACTATGATGGGTGCATCCTACAAGGCAATTGGTCCCCACTATCCTTCAGTTTTTAATAATGTGTTGGACAGTTTTTAACCCAATTTTAGTAGTTTCTACAATCTCCTTAGATGTTTTCTCTGCTTGATGCCAATGATTTGATCCTTCTCAAACAGACTGACATCTTTTCCACAACCACAGGATGGGTCTTTCCATGGGGTTGTTTAAGAAATGAGAAGCAACTCATAGCACCAGTTGGGGTTAAATAACTTGTTTCAGCTGAAAGATAATCACCCATGCAGTAATTATCCAATAGGAGGCTCGCACCTGTTTGCTTAGTTAAATCCAGGTGGAAAAGAAAAAAATTGTAYAGGTCTTCTGGACGGGTTCTTCTCTAACGAAACGTTTCGTCTCTCCTCCAAGAGACTTCTTCAGTCTGAGAGTTTCAGGCAAAATTCAGGCTTTTAAGCCCAGCCTCCATGTGACTGATACTCACATCACATGGCTATCGTTGACACCTAATTAACACCTATTGTTAACAGGGGGTGGAGTGATACTGGCAATAGCCGCACTGTAGGAGGGGGACAACTGAAAACGGAGGCCTCCACCTCTGTTTAATAATGGACGGTCTTTCTTCACAAAAATGGCTTCTTTTACTCCTCTCTCAAACCGACTAACTTACTGAGATGCATCAGGAAATCCAGGTGGAGACTTTTTTTTTGGGCCAGGCACTATAAAACCTGACAGAGTGACACAGACAACATAGTTCATGCCAAAACAAAACTAAACACTTCATAGTAGCTGTGAATCACAGAGGATGTGGGCTGATGATTTGGGCTCCTTGCAGTCATTGTACACCAAATTATTCTAGAGTCTAATGTCAAACCTGTCTGACAGCTGAAGCTTGGACAAAATTTCACATCACATAACCTAACCCTAGCCAGCTACTACGGACACCGGATGAATGTAAATTTGKTTTACAGTAAGTGAAACTAATCCGGTTCATACCTGTGTGGGGAAGCGCAGCAGAGCCTCAGACACCCTCTGCAGGACAGGCAGGCCGTTCCCTCGTCCACAGTCTCCGTTCACCATGACTCTTCCTCCYGCCTCTCTTCCCTCAGAGTCCGATGAAGGAGAGGGATGGCCTGAGGTGTCGGTCAGCATCTCCCGGACACATGGTGGGTTCAGGTCCACGTGAAAGTCGGCCGAGATCTTGCAGCTCTTGGATACGTCAAAGAGGGCGAGGCTGATGAAGAATGGCTCCACCTACGCCGGCGTTTAGCAGAAACAGAGGGGGTTTAAGGTGACATTTTTAAAATAAAGCCACTTTGTTTTGTTCTCTTACATTCAAAAAGTATGACCAGACCAGAAGAATGAATCAGCCCTTTGAACCTAAAACCATGTTTTATTTATTGTTCCTTAGAATTCTAAACTTTTTTTGTCTTGCATGTCTGAGATAATAATGTTTAAGAACTACAATACCATTTTGGAAAATTTTCATGTAAGAAAAAGCCATTTGTAAACACCACTGAGAAACACTGATGAGCTCATATAAAGTTCCAGGTCTGTTGAACAGCTAAAATCCATTTCCTTCAAAGACTCAGCTGGTCTCCTCAGTTCCTACATGTTTACAAACTGCTGGTAAAAGAAAAGGGAAGTGGTCAAAGTGCTGCTTTTTGGTGACAATGTTTTGCTGCGATTTAGAGATGATGTCATACTGTGACAGCCAATCAGCATCCAACAATCAAAGCTGTGGGCACAGTCAAGAGTGGTTCTAGTTTAATTTTTTTCCCAACTTCTTTTAGGTTCCACTGCAGGCCAGTATTAATTTATACAACAAAATGAATAAAAATGTACAATGTGAATCATCAAAAGGGGTGCAACATGTATTGATACACTGAAATATGATATTTCATTTCCTGATACTGTAACGATTCTCTAAAGCACTGTATTGATTTTTAATTAAGGTTTAAAATGTAAACTTCCATGTCAACAGTTCATTTTTATGCTGTAGTTTAGCCTCTGACCACTAGTTGGCAGCTGTCAGCCCACCATGTGGCTCTTCCCCTCCTGAGTAGTTAGTGTAACGCTAGCTCAGACATTAGCGACTAATTAAGGGCTCGACACACGAGAGGTGACGTCGCTCGCTCTCCATTCATTTCCTATGGAGCCTGTGCGGTGAGGCGACAATCTCTTGCCCTCCTCCAGCTAAGCGACAGGCGAAAATAGTGCATGTGAAATTTTACGCTAGTACACGTAGACGTGCACACGCGAGCTTGCGACGCGACATATGAAAGTTGAAAAATGTTCAACTTTTGTCGCTGTCGCTTAACGTACAACCAGTGAGGGTTTCATTGACTGACCAATGAGAGGAGAGTATGCTACACACTGCAGTTAGCTAACACTTTCACCAAGTGATTACTAAAAAGCTTTGTGGGAATTTATTGGCACCAGGGTGAAGTTTATGGTAAGTTTTTCCTCATAAAACTGTATCTTGATGTGTGTTTGTTTTTCAGTATCATTAGCATCTCAAGATTTGTTTAGTTTACACGTCCGTAATGCACACCCGCCTTCAGAGTCAAGAACCAATCAAATTTCGTGAAGACAAGCGACCTGAAAGAGCGCGATTCGCAACGCTGCGATCGCTATCGTGTCCCGTGTGTCGGGTTTCACCCTGGCTGTGATGACAGCYGTTAATCGCTGTAGTTTGTCGCTGCCCGTGTGTCGAGCCCTTTAGTGAGTAAACATTAGCACCATGCACCGGTAGCTGAATCTGAGTGGATTAGACCGACACCCGCTGCTTATTAGCTAGAATGTCCGTATTTTAAGTCAAGTTGAAGTGTCTTGTTTGGAACGCTCTTTCTCCCAACTGTAGTCAGCCGTCATGTAACGGAAGGAAGGCAGGCATTTGTCAAGCGCCCCAAGCTCAGGAGGTCCCCGAGGGATGATAACAAAGTGGCCAAATGCAATGACCATATGAAACACAATGAATTGAAATGACTGTTGTACTCATGCTCCCCGCTTTATGCGTCAGAACAAGATATAGGCTATTGTTATTGTGTTGGGTGACCATATTCTTATAATAAATGAATATTACAATCTAAAAGCTGCCGCAAATATATTGTCAAACACATTTAATGGCACATTTAGTCTTGAAAACATGAATGAAATAAGAAATATGAAACAAATAAAATTCATAAAAAACAATTTATTTATTGAATTTCTGAAAAACAAATGGCAATATATCGTCTTGCTTACAGTATCACAATATAACGCGATAAATCTTATCACGACCCCCATATCAAATGTTTCGCCAAATTGTTGCCAATACACAGCCCTAATTATCATCAACTTAATCTTCTTGCCAATCTTGATTTCTTAATTTCTCAAACCCTCTAATTTAGTTTTTCCTGCTAAATTTAAAACTCTGAAAAGTGGTTAGTGGTATGAGTTAATTTAAAAGATCCCTAACCTTTAGTTTCACTCTTAACACAGTTCCTACGTCTCCTTAATTAGTTTTCTGGCACATCAATTGGTTCTTTTAATTAAAAATAGATTTTATTCTGCGTGTTCTTGAGCAAAACTTGGTTTGAAATTTCCCCCCAAATATTACCAATATCATAAACTTTGTTAAAACAAGTCTATCTTTTACTGCTAACCTTGTCCAATGAGAGTGCTAGAGTCACGCTAACAAGTGGTGTAACTTATAGAAAACGAGATATTAGTGTAAATATTTATATTCTATCAGGTCACGTTGGAAACATGATGCCCACAAGTATTTGACATGTTACTCATTTCTGCCAGAACTGGCCGATGAACCAACGTGAGACTGAATGGAAACTAAGCAGAGAGGGAAGAGGAGTGTGAGCTGCTTTCCAACCACAAATATGAGTCAGGTTATTTCTCTCAGCAATTTCCTAATGGAGGAGGAGGTTTTATGACTCTACGAAGGAAACTGCTGCATCACGCCATCAGGCACGTTAGGCTGCCTGCAGGGCCAGGTCTCCCTTGCAAAAACAAATCTGTGATCTCACTGGGATTTGCCTGGTTAAATAAAAGATAATCAAAATAAATAGGAACTCTCCATTCATCACATAAACTCACTTTTTGCCTCGATCAGAGCAAGAATGCTGCATTTTAATCAACTAAACAAAGACTCGTTTAAAACTCTTAATTTTTCTAGGTACTGGAACAACGTTTAGCTGTTTACCCGTCCTGCTCTGCTTCTTCCTGAAGCCTTTCAGCCGTCATGAATTATGAAGGTGTATTATTTAGGGCAGCAATGCAGAGGAAGCACATAGAGCTACATGTGCGGTAGAGTGGAGAGAGGGAGGCTGTGTGCTCAGCCCTACAAGATTCATTAAAGGGTTTATAGAGACTTCTTTGTTTTCTTTTGGAAAATGTTTTAAGTGAATAGGAGTGGACGTTAATGAAGCGGCAGGTAAAAAACAAAGCTCAGGACGTACGTTGGTGAGGACGCCGTCGGAGCGCTCGTTAACGCAGCCCTGCAGGCTGAAGGCGAGGTCGTGGCAGCTGACCATGATGCGCCGGCCGAAGCGCTCGTCGAACGGCTTCACGTCTGGCTCGATGCCCGAGAAGTCCAGCCTCTGGGTGTCAGAGCAGGGGAGCGATGGAGAGGAAGAACACAGAGGAGGACGCATCAAAGAAAAGGAATCAATAGTGAAATAAATAAATGATGTGTTTTGTTGTTACCTGTCTTTCAGGATCCAGGGAGAAAAGCTTCAGTCTGCCTTCGTTCCTGTTGATCTTATTGAGCTGCTCAGTTTCTCTTGCATACTGTGAAACAGAACCACAACGAAACATGATGTTAATCTTTTGTCTTCATCATTAAGGATGATAATGTATGAGTGTTGAACCTCCCTTTTGTGTAAATGCTGAGTCATCATTCTTACTATTGCTATGCAGTTTTGTTTTTATCATGGCATTAGAAAAGAAAACGTCCAAAGAAAATGTCCTGATGCATCTCGGTAATCCAGGTAAAAAATCAAAAAGAAAAAAATTGTATAGGTCCTCTGGACGGGTTCTTSTTTAATGAAACGTTTCGTCTCTCCTCCAAGAGACTTCTTCAGTCTGAGAGTTTCAGGTAAAATTCAGGCTTTTAAGCCCTGCCTCCATGTGAGTGATCAGGACTCTGTACCACAGAGCAGACAGTGTCCCTACAAACCCAGGAGCCAGACAGAAAGAGAAATCACACACACGACAGGCCCTGGAGCAGTGTGGTTATCCTGACTGGGCTTTCCTGAAGCAGACAGGAAACACAGACAGGATTCCATGCAACCTTCAGGTGAAAATGAAGACCCCAAACCCAGACCCAAACCAGTGGTTATTCCATATGTTGCGGGTGTTTTGGAGAAACTGAGACGTTTATTTTCTAAACATGATGTCCCAGTGGCTTTCAAACCCCAAAACACATTACGGCAAAGGCTGGTTCACCCCAAAGATCCGGTGCCCCGGCACAACAGAGCAATGCTGAATATGCTGTGAAGTGCCAGGAGGACTGCGACCAGTTATACATCAGGGAAACAAAGCAACCACTGTTCAAAAGAATGTCCCAACACAGACGAGCTAATTCTAATGGCCAGAACTCTGCAGTTTTCACTCATTTACAGGCCAGCGGTCACTCTTTCAGAGATGAGGATGTTCTCATTCTTGATAGAGAGGAACGTTGGTTTGAGAGAGGAGTAAAAGAAGCCATTTTTGTGAAGAAAGACCGTCCATCATTAAACAGAGGTGGAGGCTTCCGTTTTCAGTTGTCCCCCTCCTACAGCGCTGCCATTGCCAGTATCACTCCACCCCCTGTTAACAATAAGTGTTAATTAGGTGTCAATGATAGCCATGTGATGTGAGTATCAGTCACATGGAGGCAGGGCTTAAAAGCCTGAATTTTGCCTGAAACTCTCAGACTGAAGAAGTCTCTTGGAGGAGAGACGAAACGTTTCATTAGASAAGAACCCGTCCAGGAGTCCAAAGAAAAAGTCAGATTTCTCAGAACTGACCAGGAAAACAAATCTGAAATTTAAATGTGTTTGACAGTTTCCAGTTCAAGACGATCAAGGTGAAAATCAACCACTTGAAATAATTAAGATACCTTACTTAATAAGATACATAACGGTGTCTTAATAAATAAGACGCCGTTTAAGATTTCTTCAGAGATTTGCTAGTTTATCTCATCCTGTGTTGTCAAAGTACAAAACAATCCACCACAGTGGTTCATTTCCTTGACTGTTTTCTACACCAACAGTCTCTTTTCAGCCAGCTTGTTTGGAAGCTAACCATCCAAACAAAGAGGCAGCTCCAAAGCTTCATTCTGCTCTTTGGGCTGCCTGTCAGGGATGTTTCTGCTCTTCAAGCATCTCAGACACAAAAAGCAGCAGAGGACAGAAACAGAAATGTAGTCAGACAGACAAATAAAGGAAGGGGGAATGAGAAGAGCTTCTTGTGTAGACAGACGAGCTTTAAATCGTTTCAGCTCAGACTGTGTGCTGACTGAAGGCAAAATGGAGAGAGGTTTTACCTGCACGAAAAAAAACATCTTTCAGCCGTTTCTCCTCTTTGTTTATAATTTAATCAACTGAACAGGAGCATTTCTGTTCAGTCTCACCTAAAGCTTTATTGTAACGTTACTATTCTGTCAAATCATTCCAGAATAAAGAGTTCATCCACTCAAACCTTTTTATTTCCTCTCTGAAATTCAAGATAATATTCAGCAGATTGACTTTATAAAAGATGCGAAGAGTTTGGCACTCCTAGTTGAAAATAACTGGACAAATTTAAAATTATTATACTATTATTATTATTATTATACTTTTGTATCAAAAACCTTTTGTTTTAATGCATTATGGAATTAAATTGTAAAGTTAAAATTAATCCTACAATAATTAAGAGCAGATTTTAAAACAGCCCAATGTACACATAGACAAATTTGTTTGGACTGTCTAGAAAGAAAACCCACAAAGGTCAGTAAAAAGTAAAAAATAAACTGACAAAAATAATAAATAGAAAAGCTATTGAGAAAAGTGGGCTGTCCAGTGTCAGACAGCATGGTCATGGGTCGTCCAACAGAAAAAATGACAAACTTTAAGCTAAAATTTTGAATCATGTAAACTTTTTAACCGTTTTTATTTTATTTTTTTCTAACTAAGTGTGGAGCTATCTGCTACATTTGCCCTTGCTGCCTCCTGTTTTGGCCTTGAACCTTAAGTTTTTAAGTCTATTTTGGAGAGTAAATAAAAAGTTTGTTTTTTGTTTTTGTTTACTGGTAGTTTTTGTTTGTGGATCATTATTGTTTAAACTTATTTTTTGAGAAAAAATGCACAGATATTTTAAGATTTATTTTGTTCTTTCTGTCGCCTTTCATTTTATTTGTGATTTGTGTTTTATTGTACATAAATTG